AAGAGGCATAGCACGTGGAACTAGAATAATCCACCCCGCTGGATGAAATAAAGGGTTAGTTTCCAATTTCCAATAACCTGATGAACGGTAGAAACTTTGTGAATATGAAGATGAGGATAACAGTCCGAATAATGTAAATTATTTAAGTATCATAATAACTCATCTCAATGATATAGAGGACGAAATATGTCAATGTAGATGAGGATAACAGTCCGAATAATGTAAGTAATCATAATACCTCATCTCAGAGATATAGAGGCCGAAACCTTGTGAATATGGCAATGAAGATGAGGATAACAGTTAAAATAATGTAAATAATGTAAGTAATCATAATACCTCATCTCAGAGATATAGACGAACTATTCTCTAAAAGTGAATATTCTTGTTTTTTTTTTTTATCCGCAAAATATTCCATTCTTTTAAGACTTTCTAATGGATTCGGTAGGGATTATTAGTCCACGGGGATTAAGTTTGGTTCATTTTATTTTACGGCATATCAACACCTCAATGGGTTATCTAATAGCGACAATATTTTAAGATAGATTCGGATGAATAGAATATGTATTCTTTGTAAGAAATCAGTTTGTAGATCATGTATCATAGACGTATTTTTGTAAAGAGAGTTTTTGTCAAGAGTCAAAAGGATTCTTTATTTTGAAGCCTTCTGAACACTTCCCAACTTCTGACCATTTGTTTCAATATGAAAGATTATTTTTAATCACTTTTTATTCAAACCTGAAAAAAAGTACCAGCTACCTTTCCTTCCGCTAAATCTTATCATAAAATATAGACATATAATCACACCTAGGTATGAAAACATCAGGCAGTGACATTATCTCTTTCATCTTAATTTATTGAGATATTTAATAATGTATTTTGTTTATGTTTTGGAAAGCCTAAACGTTCCTTGATTTGACTTTGTAATTTATTTTACATTTTTTTTTCTTGCTTGTTTGGGTGGAGGGCAAATAATACGTTTTATCTTCAGAGCAAAATAAAAGAAAAGAGTTATATATACGAATCTGAAAGAAATATGAAGAGAAAAGAATTTATTTTCTACTTAACGATACATAAATATTTGGGAAAAAAAAGCATCAAACGTGAAAAATTACAAACAAAAAAAAACTGATGAAAAAATCATTCGAGAGTAAAAAAAAAAGATTAGTTGCTATTTACAAAGATTTTTTTCTGTAAATAACTTACGAATTTGACTCGTACACAATTTTCTTAATATCTGCGAAAAAATACTTCATACATTGATTACTTTTTATGCTTGGTTTAAATAAATAGAAAATAACAAATTTTAATTAAAATAATCTATTAAATACATTATTAACATTATTCGAACTATCATAATCATCTTTGTCGCCATATTTATTACAACGTTTCAGCCTTTCAGTATCTGCCTATATTTCTGAGATGAGGTATGTACACTATTTACATTATTCGGACTATTGTCCTCATCTTTGTCGCCATATTTATTACAACGTTTCGGCCGTTCAGTATCTGTCTATATTTCTGAGAGGAAGTATTATCTACACTATTTACATTATTCGGACTATTTTCCTTATCTTTGTCGCCATATTTATTACAACGTTTCGGCCTTTCAATATCTGTCTATATTTCTGAGATGAAGTATTATGTACACTATTTACATTATACGGACTATTGTCCTCATCTTTGTCGCCATATTTATTACAACGATTCAGCCTTTCAGTATCTGTCTATATTTCTGAGATGAGGTATTATCTACACTATTTACATTATTCGGACTATTGTCCTCATCTTTGTCGCCATATTTATTACAACGTTTCGGCCGTTGTACGCTCCGTGGTTGGAATGTCGAACTGAACCCTTTATTTAGCTCACTGGAGTATACTATACTAGTTCCACGTGCCATGTTTAATGGATGTCAGTTATCAGTTATCTCCTGTTAATTCCCCTCTGAAAGTTCTCCACTGCCTTAACAGGGTATTGAACTCACACACTTTGAATCCTGTCAACAACGTTTCTGGACCTAACTAACTAACTAACTAACCAACACCTTTATCCACTGTGTCATGTGTCCTTGAGGAAACTTGTGTATGAATTTCTGGGTATTATGAACCTAATGTCTTCAGCAACCATTTTTTTTACCATGGCACGTTCAACTAGAACAGTCTACCTCAGTGAGCGAAATAAAGGGTTCAGTTTGGCATTCCAACCACCTGAAGAAGGCCGGAGTGTACAATTGCCGAAACGTTGTAATAAATATGGCGCCAAAGATGAGGACAATAGTCCGAATAATGTAAATAGTGTACATAATACCTCATCTCAGAAATATAGACATAATGAAAGGCCGAAACGTTGTAATAAATATGGCAACAAAGATGAGGACAATAGTCCGAATAATGTAAATAATGTACATCTCATCTCAGAAATATAGACAGATAATAATCTATTAAAAATGGTAGATGTCTCGAATACAGAACAATATAATTTCTGCCAGAGTTTCTGGCAAGAAGAGTTTTCATTGTTTACATTCGGACTGTTATACACATTTTTGTTATCAAAACGTTTCGGGCGTTGTGCCCTCTGACCTTCATCAGGTGTGTATCAATCTGGGTAACCTACAGGGAAATCCGAACTGAACACTTTATTTAATCTACAGTAGGAGATTTCTCTAGACATGGACTGTTGAACAAGAAGAGTTTTACCACGTCGATTAAATGGTGGGTTCAATTTGGAATTTCTTGTAGGATGCCCGGATCGGTTTAAAGTTACGGAAGTTAAGAGGGGACAAAAAAGATGACAATAATCTGAATGGAAACAATGGAAATAAGAAAAAATAACGTGTTTAAAACACACGTTATGTTCAATTTAATCTTTTTCGGTTTCTCACTTTTTTGTGTTCCGTAATGAAGCACAGAGGCACAGAGATGAGAAGATGAGTTTGTTAATATTTAATTAATATTAGAATTACTTTTTTTAAAGAACATCACCTCAAGCAAAGCGTGCGGGTCACTAGTACGTACAGCGTTACAGAAAATATATAGCAGGATTAATATATATATGTTATATAAAGGATATATATATATATATATATATATATATATATATATATATATATATATATATATATTCATGAATTATTCATACAAAAACAAATACAAAGGTTAATGATTTAATTGGCGAGAAATCCATCGTCGCAAACAATTCAAATAATATACAAACCCCCACGAAACCGTTATGAATGAAAAGATCCTTGTTTTTATAAATTTCTGTTGCATTAGTTCTTATTTTTTTTACAAGCTTTCGTCTGTTCCTACAGACATCTTCAGGTATAGAATAGATGTTGTTCTTGTTTTTTCTCTCAGTAATAAGAGGACAACGAAAATATATGTATTGTTGTATCCGAAAATGCTATTAGAAATGAGTTATTGTTTTTGGAGCGTGAAGTAGCAACGCTGAGTTTGATTTTAAATTTTACAGTTGTGCGTTCAAATATGGTGATGAACAAATTTTTTTTACTGGTAAATTTTCTGTCAAAGTGGCATGAACTATATTGTTCAATAATTACAGTAATGTCGCACTTATTATTAAAAAAGTTGCACTTGGATCAGTTATTTTAATTTCAATAAAGGTGCAATCAATTTACAAATTCATGAATTATTTATACAAAAACAAATGAAAATAACTGATCCAAGTGCAACTTTTGGATAATAAGTGCGACATTACTGTAATTATGGAACAATATAGTTCATGCCATGTGAATGTAGCTCGTCAGAGCAATTGCCATGAAAATTCTTGTAGAAAAGACAAAGGGAAGCCACAGTACTTCTGTGAGAAAGTGACTATAGACGAGATCACCTTCCTTACAAATGTGTTGCCCATTGAAGGAAAATATGTATCTCGACTATTGTTTAATATAAGAATACTGAGCTCTAGCGATCTACGAAATGGTGATGAAGTATTTTGATAGAATATGGAAACACTCCACTCACCTTTCCACTTTCAGTTTAAATGATACATCATAGGGTGATATCAATTGTCTTCCTTTTTTCGTAATCATTTCGACCCAAGAAAGGCAATAGAGTCACTAAGATGCAAGTGGTGTCTGGATGGCAGAGAATATGAAAAAAAATAACTACTATTAAGGAAAGATAACAATAAAAAGACAGGAATTAAGAAAACAGAATATAAAGATTGATATGTAAATTTGTTGAAGATCAACATTGACTGGGAAAAAAAAAGCCGGAAGATGGTTCCATAAGAGAGAAGTGGAACAGAATGAACTCTTAGCATAGAACTTAACGTTTACATCTAGACGTTTCTACTGTAAAATGAGGAATCCTTGGCGCTAATCTAGTTCTGCGTTTAAATTCATTAAGTCTAGGTATGAAAGAAGAATTGCCATGAAGGTATAGAAAAAGCGTACAGAAGCTATGTTATGGTAGTGGGAAAGTGACTGAAGGCAAGATGTCAGGTCAAGACCAATAGCATTGCAGATTCTTCTTTGTATTTTATCAAGAATCTCTAAATATGTAATAATAGCACCAGGTCAAATTTGGCAGCAATATTTAAAGAAAGGACGAATGGTAAACTTAGAAATATGTAACAGAGATTCTGTCGAGGAAAGAATGTCTATCAGGATACAGCAAACCAAATTTCTTATTAATAGACCTACCAACAGAATCAATATAAATTTTTTACTTCATTTCAGCGGAATATCTGGCATATTAACTCTATATTAACGCTGTAGCTAACTGAAATAAGAAAGAATTGTTAGTTACAAATTCTAAAATCCTTTTGATGGATTCATTTTGTTTTTTACAGCCCATCAACCTTTTTCTAGGTTATTTAAAAGCCATTTTTTTGATTGTATGGATGATTTTGGAAATAATATTAAATTGCTGATTCAAGTTCTAATAATTATGTTGAGGAAGAATAGGTGCATTCTTAATATTCCCATGTTTATTTGCGCTTAATTCAATTAACGAACCTGATTTGATTTAGAACTCACAGCACGTAATATTCCCAAGTGATCACCCATCCTGCTACTGGCCAAGCTCGACGATGCTTAACTTCAATGTTCGTACTAAAACCGACGTTTCAACGTGATATGGCCGTAAACACACACACACACACACACACACACACACACACACACACACACACAATAGTAAATTATTGTGGTGTATTTCAGATAGAAATTATATTGATTGGAATCTCAACTTATTCGCCGATTTCAGAAAATTGTCTTAAAAATATGTTTAGAAAACATTGAACTATTCGCGCACTTACTATTTATAAATGATGTTTTATGTGCTTAGTTTCTTTGTTTCCAGGGTCCTTCACTTACTCCTATGTATATCTTTCTTCCATATCATCGTTTCATATATATATATATATGTGTGTGTGTGTGTGTGTGTGTGTGTGCGTGTGGAATCATTTTCTTCGTTTGTATTTTCCTTGTAATTTTTACAAATTAACATATTTTCAGCATTTATACAATATTTATTGATTTTAGTTACGTTTCAAGATGCTTTATGAAAAAATAAAAAAATGTAAAGTACTATAAAATTTTCTTAACTTAATTTTAAAATTTAATAAACGATGAAATTTTGGATTCGTAAATTTCGTTTCCATTTAATTAAAATATCACAACCAGGAAATAACCCAATAGAGAATTCTAAATATTCTTAACCTATTATAAATTATTATAATTAAAATTTTAAAAAATGAAAACATTCTTGACAAAATTTATTATCAATTGAAAAATTTTCATTTCTATGGACAATAGTGTCCTTAACATAGCTTATTTACAAAAGCAATTAAAAGCTTTGTTTTTCTAATTAAACAATATTATAGTTTGTTTACATTTTCAGTTAGAATAGAAAAAGTTGGAAAAATTAAGTGTTTTACATTTTCCTAGGACTCCTGCTTTTAAATAATAAAAAAAATCGGGAAGAAGAAAGGTATTTAAGTTCGGGGTAACATATGTAAAAAATGTACTTTTTTTACCAAAAGTTTCTAAACAAAGTAGTTAAAAATACTGTCATTTATTTGAAAATAAATCTTGAAAATTTCATTAAAATCAGCCAATCATTTGATTTTTGCAAGAATTTACAAATTAATGTGTTCATGCTATGCTGTTTTTACCGCGAAAGTTGAGGTACCTAAATAAGTACTAAAACGATGACACTATATGCTCCCCGCACACACACACACATATATATATCAGTACAGCAGAACAAAATTTAAGACAATAAACTCTATTAGGAATAGTAGCAGTGAGCAGATCAGTCCTAAGTTACTGTCCCAATCCTCAAACGAGTGTTAAAAGGAATGATGACCGGAAACATTGTTTTTAATATGAATTGAAAGCAGGTGTGGAGGAAATCAGATCCAGTAAAATGGTGTTCTTGGGTCAACAGGGGGCCTGGACAAAATGGAAAAACCTAGAAAAAAAAGGATGATTTCTTGGACGGATCTCTGGTATAGTCCACGTTATACAAGTTTCTTTGTGCAGGCAGTGTATGATACATGACTCAGCCCTGTAAGCCTTCGCACGTGGCGAAAGGGTGAGTTTCCACTTTGTCCGTTGTGCCAGAAGAAAAGTTCACCCCAACATGTATTGAAAGATTGCACCAAAGCATTAAGTAAGATGTGCTACCTATGGCGACATGATAAGATTTTAGGAGTCATTGCAAGAATAGTCCCAAGGAGTCTCCAAACAAACCGATTTGAACCGAATTAGAAGCTGATGAAATTCGTCGGATCTGAAGAAAAGGTAAAGTATTTACCGAAGAAGAAAACGTCTCTGCTCAGTTCTGATGTGGACTGGTAAATGCTAGTAGATATAGGCAGGCAGCTAAAATTATCAATGAAAATAATACAGACTAAGCTTCGTCCAGACATATGTATTTATTCTGAAAAGACCATGCAAGTCATCATGTTAGAACTAAGAAGAAATTGTGGATAAAGCCTACGAAATATAACTTGTGAAAAATTTAAATATTTTAGAGTAAAGCAAAAGATGTGGTTGGTGAGTTCAGTGTGAACCGATATAAATCGGATACTGGGGCTTTGCTGGGCGGTCACTGTGTAAGATGTTGCCAATATTAGGTGTAAGAGGTTTGAAAAAGAAGGCCAATCGCTCAAGAAAAGCAGAAGAAAAGCATCTACATGGTTATGGCTTAAAAGATCAAATAATTTGCAGTCAGTAATGAAATGAAGGAAGTTGTGTTTGATATCATTATTATTATTTTTATTTTCTTTGATTTCTGGCGTTTACACATTTCTTTCCGGGTCCCGCCCAGGGACCTAAGGTTTAGAAATGGTATCATGACACTTTCCACTGACAAAAAAAAGAAGAAATTACATAGATAAAGCCCTTCGTAAAATGTGGGCTGTACTTATCAGAACAATTTTTTGTATCTCCTTGAGGCATGGACTTCCAGGAATCCCTTCAATATGTCTACAGCAATATTTTCCAACCAGTCCTAGGGCTCCAACTACAACAGGGATTGTTGATGTTCCCATATGCAACATTTTCTAGATTTCTATTTCAAGGTCCTTGTATTTTGACAGCTTTTTGAATATCTTCAAAGATACATTGCAGTCAGCAGGGACTGCCATATCAATAAGGAGGCACCGTTATTATTATTATTATTATTATTTACTCAGTGGAACTGGGAGGTAGTTCTTGAGTATAACCTAAAACTACACCCGACAAAGCAATCTCGTCTAGGGGACAAAATTATGGTACCTCGGACAATTGATCCTACGAGTGATCTGTGGCTAAGATCCAGTAAGTGTTTGCCCACTACCAGGCTTATAGTTTTTGAGCATGAGTAAATATATGTACGTTTATAGATATATGTGTATGAACAGTGAACAAAGGGACCGTTTCTTTTTTGTTTGGATTATAAACATGATGTGTGTGATTGTATATATCACAGTGAGGGAAACACATCGTTATTTACCACTTCAAGCCGATCGTATCGCCATGTTCCGTACAAGATCGAAACCGTTAAAAAGAAACAATTTAAAATAATATAACATTTTAACATTAACAGTAACGCCTTGTGTATGTTATGTAATATCTGTAAACAAATTCTAGCATTCCATCTAACACCTAAACTAGTTAACTGAAAGCAAAACTTTTTAAGTTGCGTTCATAATTCTTCTCTCTCTCTCTCTTTATATATATATATATATATATATATATATATATATATATATATATATTATTATTTATAAAAAATTATAACATAAGTAAGTTATAAAATCACTACAAAAATTGCCATTTTGTTTTATTATTTAAAATTCACTTGATCTTATCAATATGATAATGGTGATAAGAAAAATGTTTACATTTTGTGAAACAAAAATGAAAATGATTTTATTTATATTTATGTTATAATTTTTTTATAAAAAAATAATTATATCCTTTCTACTTTGTATTGAGCACTCTTTTAAGAATAGTAATTGTTGGTTATTGGAATTCATTCCATATATACCAATTATATACTTAATATATATATATATATATATATATATATATATATATATATATATATATACATTTTATATGTGTGTCTGTGTGTGTGTATATATATATATATATATATATATATATTTATACAAATATATTTTTACAATGTATATATATATATATATATATATATATATATATATATAATTTCATGAAAAGTCTAGATAAATATAAAATAAAAAGGAAAACCAGGGTCACAAACTCACATCTATCCAACCAAAATATATATATATATATATATATATATATATATATATATATATATATATATATATATATATATACACACATATATATGTGTGTGATTCAAGTGTATTTTTTTTATAACCCCAATCAAGGCAATAATGCCACTAAACACAAGGGGTTATAGGGTGTTGAAAAATTAGGAATAGAAACATTAATGACAAGCAGAAATAGAGTAATCAGGTGCAGAGTTGATTGATATTGCATTGAAATTGCTTGTTTAACGGAAAGAGAAAAAAATTAATTTAATATATATGTATATATGAAAATTTCTGATTTAACCATTAGAGAAGACAATATTTATGAATAAAAATGACAATAGGAAAACTGGTAATGTGGACTTTATCAAAGCAAAATACGAAAATGAAATTAAATGAACAAAGTAACTAATAAAAACAAAAACAGAATGTACCTAGCAACTGGAATGTAGAGAAACGCTATTTTCATTTTTTTTTTTTTTTAACTGAAAAATAACGTCAGTGATTGTCACGTGTGGAGAATATTGTCATTATATCTGTGTTTATGTATTCAACGATTTTCTTTTGATTTTATGAATCTGTTGTGCATATTTGTTTGTAAGAGCATTAATTTTTTTTAAGAAAGGTAAAATAGGGAAAAAGCCTGGGCGTAGATTAATATTTGGGTAATTTTCTATGGCGGCACTCTCCAGAATTTTCCTTCTGAGTGAGTTATTTTCTTTTTTTATGAGTGTAGCATTTTTAAAATCAAAATTATGGTTGAATTTATTTCTATGTATGACTATTGCATTAGCTAAGTTGTTTTTTGTGAGGTCTCTTTTGTACTCATAAATGCGTTTTTTCAAACTTCTACTTGTTTCTCCAATATATTGGGAGGAACAGTTTTGGCAATTTATTTTATAAATGCCTGGTTCAGAAATACTAGTGCTATTATTGTTTGAAGATTTTAGTATATCTATAATGGTTTTGGAAGTGTTTGTGACTATTTCAAGATTATTTAGATGGGATAGGTTATTCTGGATCGTGGACGTGACACTAGTCAAGTAGTATTATGTATCTGTTTTCATGTGATTTATTATTACGGATTATGTTATTAGTTTTTTTCGTTTGTATATTTATTTATGCCTTTTTATTTTGCGTTGTGGATGAAATGATAATAGTATTGTAGTTTTTGAATGTGTTTTTATGTAAATTTTAATGCATTTTACAAACAAATATGCACAACAGATTCATAAAATCAAAAAAAGAAAATCGTTGAATACATAAACACAGATATAATGACAATATTCTCCACACGTGACAATCACTGACGTTATTTTCAGTTAAAAAAAAAAATGAAAATAGCGTTTCT